TTCTTCCCACCTCTTCAAAAACAACAAAAACAACTGGGATGGGACTTCTTCCCATCCCGGTACAACTTTTTCTCTGTTCCCCTCACGCCTCCTCAGGCGTCTGGATCAACTGTTCCTCCGTTCAGCTCACGCCTCCTCAGGTGTCTGAATCAACTTTTTCTCTGTTTTAAACTCTCACACAAAGGCTCGGGGCGTCCCCCTCCACCTCTTAAACACAAAGCCAAGGTTGGATAACTCTCCCAACCCGGCACAACTTCAACGGACTCTTTGTCCAGATGCAACTCGCATCAACATTTCTCTCAACACTTTTTTCCCTTCGTTTGAATATGGTGCAGCCGTTCAGAATTATTTATTTATTTTAATAAAATCCCATCCTCGTTGCCAAAAATGTACTATGAAATTCTTTATCAAAGGGTTCGTGAGCGATCGGCACCAGATATTCAGACAAGAGGAAAAATAAAACACAAGGGACTGTAACTTGCTAGAATAATATTGTCATTTATTAATATTCCACAAGAAAACAGCCAAGCAAAGTCATGTACACTTTGTACACTCTTAACACACAAATTGATATGAGTATCTCTCACCGTGACAAGTGACCGGGAAGCCTTTCGATCCAATGACAGAACTCACATCACAACTGCATGGCACCGCACGCTGGTCCACACAAGACTTCCAAGTTCCCTTGCCTGTCACACCTCCTTTATACCTCTCCCTGATCGGATCGCGTGAGAGCAGTGAAAAACAAGTTTGATGGTTGTCAGGAGGACAGATCTAATTAAAACATGTTTTTCCATCATCAAAGCGATGGCTCATAAAAACATGTCCTTCCAGTAAGGAGCGCCGTGACCGTAAAAGCGGGCCAAAGCTTCCAGGTCAAAAGCACTCCTAATGCTTATTAAAGCATTCCTAGAGAGGATACACTGCCCCCCTCCGTCCCTCTGCTAACCATCAAAGAGTGTCCCAAATATATATATATATATATTTGAATAGGCATAAAGGCAACATAAATCCTTCCACCCTTTGCCTTTATGACATGTAAAACAAAATACAATCCCTAATATGTGAATAACACGTTGTATAAGTGTGTTTTCAAACTACATGTAAATGAGTGTAAAATAAGTATAAATTGACATAAAAGCATCAAAATAATCATTCCTATATCATTCCACCCTTGCCTTTTATGGCAATTTAGACATTTAATTCTGAAAAGTAACACACACAAAATGTATATGTTTGAATAGGCATAAAGGCAAC